TTGTGCAATCTTATAAACGTAGGGAAAAAGGCCAAGCAGTAACTAAGTAGTTTAATAGATCATGTAGAATGAATCTCAACTTACTTACAGAAAACCTGCCTTGGCAAGTTCTCTGGGAAGAAAAATGTGTTTCTTTACTGAATTCCAAGTAAACCATAATTATTAGCCAGAAAACCAAAATGCAAGCTTTAAGTCAACTTGAAGTCTAACCATCATCTTCCCCTGACATTTATCTAAAGTAAATCTGTATGCTCTTAAAACTTCCCAGAAGTACGGGAAGGTCACAGCCCTTTGGAAGGGTTCACATACACAGATCCTTGGGCTTCCCATGGGAAGCCACACCTTCCTGAGCAGGGCTTCAGAGGGAGCCAGGTGCCTTGCTACCTAACCCTGCAAAAGGACAAACTCAGAAACAGAAGCTCTTTTGAGTTTAGCATCTGTTAAGTGACTGGCATGTATTCAGTGCTTCAAAACAAATATCCTTCACACCTTTTCCTCAGATACACATTTTCTCCCCTTTTATTTTGCCCTTACAGCCACGTCTGAAAACAGCCGAAGGAAAAGTCTCTAAAGCAAAACTGTTCAGGTTGTGAAAGGCAGCAGAAATGTGGTAATGAGATGCCACCAGTTCTGGTTTTATTGGCCCCTTCATTTCGCACATTCCTTTCAATTTCTCTTCTTTTCTTGGTACCTTGTTGTCTGCTGTTTTGAGATGGTGTAAAACTGGAACTGGAACTGGAGCTGGAACTGGCAGGACTGGGCTGTTCAGACTTAAAAGGAAAAAAAAAAAGAAAATAAATAACATTGTAATAAACACTTTTGCCTAAAACTCTTACTGTTAGTTACTGCCTAAGCCATGCTGTCAAGACGAATGAACTACAGAACAGAATAATACTCAAAGATCTTTATTTCAGGTGTCAATGAGGCAAACATTATGGAAATTGCTATGCACCCAACATACATGCACACTACTACATCATCTCTAGTTCTTTACTAAAGCCAATATCCTAACAAGAAGTTCCCAACGCCTTGTCTGAAAGGCTATACCACATGAGGGCCTAAATGAGTTTATAATAGATCTAAGGCTTCTGTGTCCTTGTCATACTGTAGTTGGAACATTTCCCAAATTAGTAATGATGTAGTAGAATTGAAAAACAGAGGAAGACCTGAGCAGACCACACTAAATGTCAGAAAACCTCAGACAGTTTTCTTTCTTCTTCCTTAGAAAATAAGTCTTAAGATGAGGATTCAAAATAAACTTTTCTGCTGTTATTGGATTTCTCCTCATCCCAACACTTTCCATATGTATTAAGACCCTACAGATTGTAACAGTGATTGAACCAGAGAGATTGCCTTGTTACACAGGGAAGTTATCTGAAACCCACAGATTACAAAAGAGAACTAGATTTTTAAAACAGAGTTGTTAAAATCCATTTACATTATTTAACAAACAGTTCTATACATTGTTTTTCCACATTTTTTTAAAATGTATAAATTTATCTCAAACTCTATAAAATTACTGAGAAAGGCCTATTACTTCATCTAAAAATTCTGTATAATTTTTCTCACAGTGCTTGTGGCTTATGAGGGTTGTATTGAGAAGTCTTGCTTCCTGCTGCCATGTTGCATGTCTCCATTATACTTTTTTGCTGTTTCTTAGGCTCAGTGTCTTAAAGTGTGTGGGTGCTGGTATGCACTTGCACACTCATCTGTGTACATGAGACAAAGAACAAATCTGGTATGGGGGCACAGGGGATGCTAACAGAGAACATGAAACAAGAAAGAAGCGTCCATACAGAAGCAATGGTGAAAATCAGGTTAGGAAGTAACGATCTAAAAATCTACTGTTGAAAAGAAAACCTGATTACACTTTAAATTTTATACAACTGTGTTATTGTGACGTGTTATGCAGACTAATGAAAGTTTTCTGACTCTCCTTGCCTGTACAATATCCCTTGTGATTAAGTTAGAACTAAATTGTTCTCAAAAATAACAGCAGTAATATCCAGTAAACTGTAAAACTCAGTTTTCACGCACACAGGCTACTTAAGCCTAACAGTTGCTTTTTCTCCATAAATCAATCTATTGTTGCCTTTCATAATGAGCAGGCAGATTTACAGCCTTTTGCCGCTTTTTCTCACAATGAGAGGTGCCTATTTGGGCAACAGAATGCTTGGGAAAAACACCATTAACATCTGCTCTCCTCAAATCAACACCAGCTCCAGTTCTCACAGACACACAGTCAAAATACAAACTCTGGACCTGACTGTATGGGTATATACAGCTTCTACACAGGCAAATCAACCCTGTGCAAGAAAACCAAACTCAGCCAACAACACAACCCATTTCTGAGTACCAAGAGAGATTCTTACATGGTCCACAGCAGCAGACCTTTTTGGAAGACACTGCAGCATCACTTGACACTGCTCCAAAAATCAAGTAATTCTGAAAACACTTTTTTTTTTTTTTCTGCCTGAACTTCTGCAAAATCATACAAGGTTTTTAGCTGTAAAATAATTATGATAACGTGAAACAGACTGCGCTAATGAAGAACAAGAGTCAATGCAAACTTTAAAGACATCACCATTCTGGAAACTAATCTCAGTCTTCCAGCTCCAGGTTATTCTTAAACATCTGATTTATCTGTGACTTTCTGCTTTTTGCAGCAAAATTACTAGCTGACAACTGGTTTCTGCAAACTTCCATTACCTGTATTTTTCCTTTATTAATTTCAACATGAACTTTAACTTATGTAAAATCCATTCCTTTAAAAAAAGTAACAAACACTAAAAGACTATAATATTCAGTTTAAAATACTTGAAGAAGTGCTAAAACTGTAGAAAAAAAACACACAGGTGCAGAGATATTTGTCACTACTAAAACTTCACTACTTTCTTTTTGAACCCGTTTACTGGAAATGAAAAAAGGGAAAAGGCCTGGTCTCGTCCGCATTATAAGGCAGGCAAACACCAGTGAAATTCCTTCATGTCAAAAATTTCTCCCGCATTAACTAATTGAGACAGGATCACAAGAAGGAATGGATATGAATACATATAAAGTTGTTATAATACCTTCCTGGTAAAAATTTTTCTCTGCTTTAGCAAGATCCCTTTGAGAAGCCAAACCATAGAAAGTCCCAGTGCAACACAAATTATCATCCATACTCTTTTAAAAAGGGTTCTTAATGCCTCTTGAAATAATTTACATTATTTCCGTAAATGGCCCTGTCTGAAAATTTATTCAATGAATGACAGATTAGCATAAATGTTAAAATTGTTACGTATCAGAAATTAAACCTAGCTTTTTTTACTTTGAGAAATCTGGAGTGAGAATGCACCCAGAGGAAACAGCTGCTTTTAACATAAGAATGAACGTTTTAACAGAAAAGACTTGCCTTTTTAGAAGGAACTAAAAATATGCCTTCCGTGTATGAATATGGATTAGTGCTGACAGCGCTGATGCTTCTAGTTACCAGAGGCCATCTTTTGTCACTTAAGCAATGCTTTTTGACAGTTTTACAGACTGTCATCCCAAGGACTTAGGTATTTATGGCTTTATTCACTTGGGCTTTCTGCTCTTATCCGCTGGTTACTAAACACCAAACAGTTGTTTTGGGTTTTTTTTTGTTGTTGTTGTTTTTTTTTTTAAATGGGTCTGAAATGAGCTAAAGGGTGTCCTTCAACAATAAAAGCTTAAAACAGTACCAGCAAAGAGCTTCTCTCATATGTCCTTTTCCTGTTTTACTAGTTTTCTCTTCCTACAGATAAGCTAATGAGAGTTTGGGCCCAAACTGTTCATTAGTGCAATGACCCGATATGATTTATTGAATTCTTAAGACGGTCTATTTTGTTTTAGTGCTCTCACACCAATGCACAGGAGACACTGGCTTCTTTATTAGGCCTAGTTGAGGGATTCTGTGCTTTGAAACTGTTAGGAAAGAAAAGGGACCAGCTCTAAATCACTTGGCTTCTGTCATTTCCAAACTCTTATCTGTTTTTACAAGTAGTACAACTTACTCCTGAGCTGCAAACAATCCTCAAACTCACCTGTTTATGACACAGGATATAATGCAGCTGTTTCTGTAATATTTCATGGTTGTCTGGATTCATGTACCTTCTTCTAAAAATAAACCCCATCATTTCAAGCTCCTTATTTACATTAAAAAATAGAAAACATCTGTATGTGGGTGACAATGGCTTTTCTTGCCTTCCCCTGAACAGTTTTTAAAGGAAGCTTACATATTGTTTCCTGAAATAAAATTTAAGTGGTGTAATAATATCCCATTTCATATCAGCCAGTCTACATATTTGCTATTTTTCCACACAACAGTGTAAAGATTTATGTTTCCCTGTGCCATACACACTGAAAAGTCTATCCACTTAAAACTGCTTATAGCTGAGTATTACTTCTACTTTGTCCAAAGTTAGCTTCTCAGGGAGGAGGAACACGCTCTCCCAGGACAGGCCTTCTTCTCTAACAGGACTCCTGTAATTACAACTTCTACTGCCTCTTAAGCACCCTGTAGCTGACTGCCGCCTCAGCTTTTAGTACAGTAATCCAACCCATCTGTAGCTCAAAGGACAGAACAGCCCTCCCTCATCCACCAAGTGCCCACATCTGCTGCCACCAAGGGGAGACACCATTTGGGTGTCTATGATGCCGTATGCCTGAACTGAGCTGCCTGCACCCTGCCCAAATTTTATATCACCACATCTCCTGTCAAACTGCTACATTAGCAACTAACCTCCAAGGCAGGGTAAAGCTGTTCCTTTTCAACCGTTCACAAAAATCAGCTTGCAAGCTCACAGGGAAGAAGGAAGAACACGGGTATGGATAGGGAAGTGGAATTAATTATTTTCTTATAGAAATTGATATATTTGTTCATAACTACAACATTTAAGGAACTAAAATATTATTTAAAGAAGTAATTCAAGATTAAGGAGATGTAAAATTTAAACAGGAAATGCCAGATTATTGATTTTTGAGAGCAGGCAGAGACAGTCATTTGGCAGAGAATGTGACCTAAAGTAGTGATACAGTTAGCTGCCCTAATTATTTATAGTAATTTTAAACAAAAATTCTGTATCACTGAAGGAGATGAGGTTATTTGTTAATTAAATTGACTCTGTACCTGCTACCTGAGCAAGTCCATGGGCCCTAATGGGATGCACCCATGAGTGCTGAGGGAGCTGGCAAATGTCATTGCAAGCCCACTCTTGATAATCTTTGATTGATCATGGTGACTAGGAGAAGTGCCCAAACACTGGAGGAAAGCAAATGTCACTCCTGCCTTCAAGAAGGGCAAGAAGGAGGTCCCAGGGTACTACAGGCCGGTCAGCCTTACCTCAATCCCTAGGAAAGTGGTGGAGCACCTAATCCTGGAAACCACTGCCAGGCACTTAAGGATGACAAAGTCATCAGGAGTAGTCAGCATGGCTTCACCAAGAGGGAGTCATGACTGACCAACTTGACAAACTTCTGTGATGAAATGACTGGCCTGGTAGATGAGGGGAGAGCAGTGGATATTGTCTACCTGGACTTCAATAAGGTCTTTGCCACTGTCTCCCCTAAGATCCTCATAGACCAGCTGTTGATGTATGGGCTGGATGAGCAGAGAGTGATGTGGATGGAAAACTGGCTGAATGGCTGGGCCCAGGGGGTGGTGATCAGTGGTGCAAAGTCTAGTTAGATGTCAGTAACTAGTGGTCTACCCCAGGGGTCAATAGAGGGTCCAGTCCTGTCTAACACCTTCAGTAATGATCTGAATGCT